TGGTACCATGAACAGTTGCATGAAACTCATCATTATCAAATTCAGTAGTCTAATGATTGACAACCTATGATGAAACATGCAAGTGACAAAATATGGTAATCCTCTCTGTTGTTGATAGGGTCCCGTCATAGCTATACCTCTTATTTTGCAAAATTAGTTATATTCAATATATTTGATGTCTTGATGCATGGGTATATCGACCTTGAGAAGCATCTTTAAAATGCGAGATTAGATTGTAACTAATTCCTGGTGATGACACACGAAAGGGCAAAGTATAATATCATTAGTTTATCAATGCGAGATCGATAACCGGATCACATCTGAAAGGGCATCATTAGAACATTAGTACTTCATCAATGCATATTATAGATTGTAGGCGCACAACAATTTGCTGAAGATTCAGTTCTGTGTTTTCCCTGAAACAGAAATATAAGCTCTGATATCCAACTACATTTGGTGAAGGAAGCCGAGCTTGAAGTAACTTTTAAAAGAGCGGACCCGACATTGTACAATCATGGGATGGAATTTGGCAAGCTGGTTACAGATACAAGGAGTGTGTGGTCAAAGTGCCACAAGCATCCACTCATAAATGTAACACAGTTTCTTTTTGGAGCTTAAATTGACAAGAATCAAAGAATTCTGTTGTTGCCAGGTACCTTGGTGCAGATGCATTGCTTGACCATGAGTGCGCCATTCAACTCGCCATTTGTCGAACATATTCGTGGGCTTAAAAAGGACGCTTTCAAACATCTTCGGGAGTACAAATCCATGGCAGAACACAAAGCCTATTGGATTAGGAACCAGTATTGGATTATGAATCAGAAGGGGCTCAGGGAAGGGAGAGGGAAGAACCTGCAGGTGGCGGAGCACAAAGATCTAGTGAGGTTGTGAGGGCACCGCTGCGCAGCACTGGGCGGGCCGGCGAGTGCGGCTCCAAGCAACTTGGCGAGGACCACTGCCGCACGGCCTGGGTCAAGGCTTCGAGCTCGACTCCGGGTAGCCTGGCGAGGGCCACCGTCGTGCGCCCTGGGGTAGGGCGTCGAGTGCAGCTCCGCGCGGCCTGGCGAGGGCCACCGCCGTGCGTCCTAGAGCGGGGCGTCGAGGGTGGTGAGTCCTGCCGTCCTGGGGCCTAGCGAATCGTGCGTCCCGCGAGTCCTGTCGTCCTGTGGCCCCGCGGTCCTGGCCCCCGCATGCCTCCGCGTCTCCGCCGCGTCCTCGGCGCGCTGCCGCAGCCTGCCGCCGCCTCCGCGCACACTGCGTGACCTTGCGCTTTGTCAGGCGGCAGCGCGCTGCCAGACAATGGGGCTCTCGTGCCGCTTTCCTCTTACGTGACCGAACAATGTGGTGGCGGAGGCGCGGCCGTCGGGGCGCACGCGACGGCGGCGGCGGCAGTAGCCTCCCGTGCTGCCACGGCCGAAGACGACAACGCCTCCCCGGAGGCCGACAACTGCCCCGCACTGCGGCTTTCTCCTCCCCTCCGCGAAGGGCGTGGGCGTGTACAGGCACCGCGGCTTCCTCCTTCTCTCCACGAAGGTTTTGAATGCGTTTTTTTATTCGGTGATGATTGGCTTCGAGCGTTAAATCGCAGTCACGCGTGGGTCGCGGCGTGCGGCGTGCGAGGAGGATGCGGGGATGAGAAGCCTGGCATCCACATCTAATCGTGGTCATCGGATTTGGTTTAGATGTCTTATTAGCCCTTGATTTTAATGTAGATAAATTACTATGTGCATTTTCCTGGATGCACAATGGTTAAAGACTCTTAGCGGGAGACTTTTTCATAGGGGACTTAGTACCATTTTGATTTGTCCATTGCAGTAGAGATGAACCAAACTACCAGAAGTGACGGTACTGCCCTCGACCATCAAGGTCTCGACCAACCCAGACGCACCCACCTCCTCCGCCACCGTTTTCCCCTCCCCATCTCGCCCGCCGTCCTCGCCCTTCTCGATCTCCTCGCCCCTCGCGCCCGCACCTCTCCCCTTCGCTTTCACCAAGGTGAGCTTCCGATTCTCCACCCTAAACTCTGGCCTCTTCCCGTCAGATCCGTAGCCTCCCCACCCCGTGCGTCCAGATCTGGTTCCTTTCGGTTTGACTCGGTTTTTTCCCTTCCTGTGCGGGGTGTCGTAGGGTTTAGGACCGGCGGCGATGGCGGCGAAGCTGGCGCAGCTGCGCGCGCAGGCGGCGCGTGCGGCGGAGTTCGCCTCGAAGCACGGCGGCGCCTACTACAAGGAGGTCATGGAGAAGAACAAGCAGTACGTCGTTCAGCCCCCCACCGTCGAGAAGTGCCAGGAGCTCTCCAAGCAGCTCTTCTACACCCGCCTCGCAAGGTGAAACCGCCTCCCTCTTTTGATGTTGCGTCTCGTTGCGATTAGCCAATTGGGTTCTCTTGCCTGAAATGCTGCACGATCTGTTCGTGCGCGCAGTTAACAGTAACGGCCTAACGGGGTTTGTTCAGATCGCTTGTTCGATGGGTATAGTGTTGTGCGGTTAATGTTTGTCTCCTGTGATTGGCTACTATTGCAGTCACCTTGTTAAAGCTGAACATAGTATGGATGTATGATATGACTTGCTTATGGCCAGTATCAGCTATGAGGATAATGTGCTGTAATTGGCTACTATTGCAGTCACCTTGTTAAAGCTGAACATAGTATGGATGTATGATATGACTTGCTTATGGCCAGTATCAGCTATGAGGATAATGTGGTTATTTTTTGGTGGTGTACCTGAGCATTTGTAGGTAGCACAGCATATTTATGCTCTTCAGTCTTCAACTTTCAATGGCAGTCCTTGGCTTACCCTCTTGGCTAACATGGTTCTTTGTGGCTTCATTGTTTATGACTTAACACTTAATATGTATTTCGTCTCGTGGTTTGTAGCAATAGGAAATGTGATAAATCTCCCATCTATTTGTAATGTTTTTGTTTCTTATATCATGATTGTATACCTTTATGCAATCGAATGTTTCATCTCCTCTTTCAATATTATACCTGAAGGGCGAGCCTGGTGCAAGCGGTAGAGTCTTACCGCCTGTGACCGGAAGGTCCCGGGTTCGAGTCGCGGTCTCATCGCATTGCACAGGCGAGGGTAAGGCTTGCCACTGACACCCTTCCCCAGACCCCGCACAGAGCGGGAGCTCTGTGCACTGGGTACGCCCTTTTTTTCAATATTATACCTGCCAGTTCCTGAATTTAAGTTTGGTTTGGTGGATTAAACACAATTTTGAAGTTTCATAGCAAAATAAACCTATACATCAATGCTTGTATGCTCGATTATCCATGTTTGTTCCTTGTATTTTTTTTTCCTGCAATTTCCTGAGATCCATCTTACGTGGAGACATAGATAGATGCATAGAGCACTGTGCATGGCTGTTAGGGAAAACCATGAAGGTTCGATCAATTAACACCCTGGTGTGGACTCTCTTGTGGTGTTGAGGTGTCATGGCAGTACCGCAAGAAGAATTTGCTGTATGGTTCTAGAAATGAATCTTTATAATATCACTGTGGCCGAAAACTATGCATGTATGAAAGAGTAGATTCTTTGCATATAAACACTGATAACTTGATTGGTTATTGGTAAATGTGATTGCATTCTTGTTTCTTTTGGATGTTGGTTGATTGACAAGGGGAAAATGCTGTGCACATAGTCTGATTTTCTGGTGTATAAAAGTTTATGTATAACATCTTTAGCATCAGGTGTTGACATGGGTGGAAATATAAAGTTGTTTCAAAGCTGTTTCAAGGGAGATAGAGAGGGGGTAGGTTTTATACTTGTGTTATCCAAACAGCTTACAGTTTTACAGCACATAACTCACAACAACTTTTCCACAGCTCATATGCTAAACCAAACAGACCCATAGTGTATATCTAGATGCATAGCAAAAGCTATGTCCTAAAAAAGCCAAAACAACTTACAATTTGGAATAGAGGGAGTAGCTTGGAGGTATTTTGAAATTGACCATAATAAATAGAAATGGCTTGACAAAAAATTAAATATCAAGGAGCTGCAATTAATACATCATTGTTTGTCTAAATGCAAGTGGCCTGTTGAAACTTAATAAAAGCATTAGGAACAGCAATTAGACGCAATATGTAACTTGTGCCATTCAGGAGTTTACTTTTCATTGTTTCTAACCATTGTTGTGTTTGTTCAGCCTACCAGGTCGCTATGAGGCATTCTGGAAGGAGCTTGATAGCGTCAAGCAGGTATGGAAGAACAGGAAAGACCTCAAGGTTGAGGACCTTGGGATTGCGACTTTATTTGGAGTTGAGCTTTATGCATGGTTCTGCGTAGGAGAGATTGTTGGCAGAGGTTTCACCTTAACCGGCTATAAGGTCTAGATGATTTCCACTGGTTAAGACCTGCTTTACAATCGACACTTTTAGCTGATGCTTGTCGAAAAAGTGATACCTGCTGCCTTCCTTCACAATTTTGTTTCTTGTAAGAGTTTATCTAGTGCTGAATGCCAGCAAAGACGGGCACATCATTGCAACATTGCCTCAATAATTTGCTCGCTCAATTGTTGATTTTGGTGCATGTAATTCTTTGTTGGTTCCATCTGCTGCAGTCCCCTGTGTGCGGACTGATTTGTGTCTTTCTTTCTGGCCTCAAAATAAATTCCTTGTGTTCCATATATGAATGTTTTGGATGAACAGAACAACTAGTTGCTGAATTTGTGAACCGATGGAACATTAGAGTGATCGATTCTGTCGAAGTAGTCAACTTGTCTTTTTGATTTTAACCTTTATCGATTACTGGTCCTACCGTAAGATATCGTTGAAATAATATCGTCTCTTTTGTGCTTTCAGAAGAGTATTATTTAGAACACATATATTGGAGGTTGTTTTACAATGAACAAGTAACCTGTGTTCTGAGTTCCTGCTTTATTCCGAAATAGTTAGTACATACGCTACCCAGTGGCCCATCTACTTGAGAGAAGAGAATTAGCGGAGCTAATGAGCTACGCGGACAAGAACATGCTTAGAGCCAAACTCTAGATAGTTTCAGTTGTAGAGAGCAGCACGATGAAGGTGGTATAGTTTCAATTGTAGAGCAGGACGATGAGGGTGGTGAAGCTGCTGCTGGCGAGCACGAGCATCCACGCCCTGCTGCTCCTTGCGTGCTCCTCCGCGTCGGGTTCCTCCCTGCTGCCCTTGCCGGCCAAGAGGCAGAGCATGCGGTCGCACGCCAGCTTGAAGAGCGCCAGGCACGCGAAGAAGAGGCTGATGGACAGCACCGCCAGCTCCTTGTTCTGCAGCGTTTCCTGCACGCCCCGCATCTCCTCGACGCTCCACCTGCACATCCAACAGCAAATCCAATCAGTGCCTGGCGACCGGATGAACAGATCCACTGGTCGCCGCGGGGAAATGGCACTTGCCTCATCTCCTGGTTCTCCTTGATCAGGTCGTCCAGCTTGCCGGAGACGGTCGATTTCCAGGCCTTGAGCTCGTCCACGTCCTTGGCCTGAACAAATTCCTCCGAGTCACTAGCAGTCAAATAGACTCACTGCATTCAGAGCCCTGTTCTACGGCATTCATACCACGCTGTCCTTCCAGTCGACGAGGTCGTGCACGTCGGCCTTCATCTTCTCCAGCGCCATGGCCGTCTGCGAGAGCCCGTTCTGCAGGTCCGGCAGCTTGGCGCCGTACCGCTGGTTCAGCTCCCTCGTGTACTCCTCCAGCGTCGACAGGCTCAGCTCCAGCGACCGCATCTTTTGCATCAGGATCTTTAGCACGCCGTCGCTGTGGATCCGCCCCGTCGACGACCCCGGCGCCGCCACCTGCGGGGGCTTGGCCTCCTTTCCCTGCGGCGGCAGCTTCGCGTCGCCGCTCCTGGAGCCGTTGTTCTTGGCGTCGCCGGCGGTGCTGCTGGTGTCGTTCCTCCCAGTCCCAGCGCCGCCGTTGCCATCCAGCTTGGCGTGGACCTGGCGCGCCTGCTGAGCGGTGGTGTCGTTGCCGTCGGCGTCCCGGCTGGCCAAGTCGATGGAGGCGCGGTCCCTGCTGGATGCGTCGGCCTCGGCACCGGCGCCGGCGCCAGCGATGAAGTCCTGCAGCATCCGCTCGACGGCGTCGACGCCGTAGATCTCGAGGTAACTGAGGATGCAGTAGAATCCGGAGCCGTAGTGGCTGACGAGGCGCAGGCGGAGGTAGCGCGTCCACCTGGGGTCCGGCAGCACGAAGCGCTGCGCGTGCTTGGCGTTCTCGGCGGTGAACCGTCCCAGCAGCTCCCACGCCTCCGTCGGGTAGCTCATGCTGCCGTACACCTCGAAGTCCCTGAAGTTGGAGGAGTAGTGCTCCAGGTTGGCCAGCGCGACGGTGTCGACGAGAGTCTCCTCCGAGAGCTCGACGACGACGAACTTGTCGTCGGCAGAGCACGGGTTGCGCAGGTACTTGTCCTTGTCGCCGCCGAGGATGTTGGAGGCGCCCTTGGCCTCCTTGTTGTGCGCGAGCACCTTGGCGCCCTTGGACGCCGCGGCGTAGTTGTACTCGGCGCCGTTGGGCTCCAGGCGGTGCGCGGCACCACCGTCCGTGGGCCGGGGCCGGCCGGTGTCGTTCTCCGCCTTGCCCTGCATGATGCGGCTGCGGAATTCGTCGAGGCCAACGAAGGCCACCTCGGGCGACGACGCGTTGCCGCCGCCCGTGGTGGCATTGTACTGAGGCGGCAGCCCTGGGGGCGCGGGCGCGGACGAAGGCGGCGCTTCTTGGGGCGGCTGCGGCTGCGAGTAGGAGGACTGGCACGTCGTTGAGGAGTCGTTATGGTAGGGCAGCACGTAGGCCTCCAACGGCCTCACCTTGCAGTAGCTGTCGCGCCTGCCGTGGTGGTCCTCGTACAACTCTGCGGTCATCGTTCACCACGATCGGTGGATTCATGATGAGCAATGTAACATCATAAGTTTAACTTTAATCTCGCGAGAGATGGTGGACGGATCAACATGGTCAACCACGCTAGCTAGCATCCGGAGATGACGATTTGAATAGCATGAACCTGATGAAGGGTCGTCGGTCTGGCTGTGGAGGAACTGGGATCGCAGGAGGAAGAGGAGGCACCAAACGGAGAAGACGACAGAGACAGACACCTCGCGGAGGCCGCCGTCCATGGACACGGCATCGGTGACGGCGACGGCCCCCGACCCCTTGCCGCCGCCTCCTTCTCTCCTCTTCCTGCTCATGCATGCACCGCCTTCCTATTTCCGGCGCGCGCGTGCCCAATGCCAAAGCCAATCGCGTGATCGATCGCGTCGGCGTCGCGTAAGGAGGAGGAGGACGCCGGCCGTGCGCCCCGGCCCCAGACGCGCACGCGCACACCGGCGAGCGGTGATCGGTCCCGCGTGAAATCCCAGCCAAATGCGCAAGCCCACAGGAATGGAATGCCCGGTTTGATCCAGACGCAGCAGAGTCTCGCGCGCGCGCAGCGGTGGGGGGAGACGAGAGGGGAAACACGGGCGCGCCGGGTTGAGACGACGGAGAAGGAAGAAGCAAGTGACGGAGCGCCAAGTTCGGCGGAGGACATGTCGACATGCGCATGTGCGCCGAGCCGAGCGCGCGCCGCGCCACGCAACGCCCCGGCGCTGATGGGGCGGAGTGGAGTGGGAGGCGGCGGTCGAGCGGTCGAGCCGAGGGATCGAGTGGAGTGGTGCGATGCGACGGCTTTAAGCTTCCACTTGCACTCCGGGCCGGTGGGCCATGATATGCACCGGACGAACTACTGAACTAGCCAAGGCCCAAGAGACCAGTGGAATGCGGCTTCGCACGTAGCGGGCATAGCTGCAGCAAGAAAGTGGACTTAAACCGGGCCATCTGTTCGTTGGGCCAGAACGAGCGGTTTCCGGTGCTGGCTGGCTGGGCTGATTCTGCGGAACAATGATCGCCGCTTACCGGCCTGCTTTTGTGCTGCAGGAAAAAAGGAAGGTGTGTGTGTAGGCTTTGATCGATCTCCCTGCGTTACAATGGTGTGCGCAGTTCGGGGTGTCTAGATCCAGGACTAAAGTTGAGTACATGTCACATCGGGTATTTTGAAACTAATTAGAAAGACTAAATATGAGCCTAATTAAGCATAATAGATTCATCTCGTAAATTAGTCTCAATCTATGTAATTAGTTTTGTAATTAGTCTATGTTTAATACTCCAAATTAGTGTCAAACATCCGATGTAACCGGGACTAAATTTTCATAGGGGGAACCAAACACCCCCGAAGACCAAACATACGGTTTGTCTTCTAGTAATAACTAGGTTCGAGCCCGATGTTTGCATGTACGTGTCGTGCTGATATACATACAATTGTCCTTACAATTGTCTTGCTGATATACAGTCAATTGTCGTGCTGATATACAGGCACTGATCAGGCAGCATGTCATCAGTTCCGAATACCCAGGATCTGCCACCACTCTGCTACACTAATTCAAGAGCCTGGAAAAATTAAGAGAAGCAATATAGGAATAAGAAAAGGCATTAAAATCCTGAAATTAAGAGCCCAATAGATGAATAAACAAAACCAAAAGGTCCTTTTTTACATAGTGAACTGACTGGGATATTGTGGATAGTGCAGTCACTTATATGAGATTGTCTGACAAAGTTCCATATTGATCCCACTGTTGTCATGTATGAATTGAACAACTTAAGTTTTTGTTATTTGAGAAATTTCTAATTGTCAGTAGCACTGAGATAATTCAAATCATTGGATAAGTGAGAAGCCATTAGTAGATGGAGTTACATAAAAGAACAACTGAATGAACCCTCAAAAAGCACAAACACTTTGGCAGCATTGTGTCGACAAGCTCGAGCAGCAGCAGGTCACCCCTGCCATGAGTAAATCGTCGAAAAACACATTCCAAAGTGATGTACATACATTATATTAGGGATATCCAGTCTCCTTCAATAATGAAGTGTAAACAAACAGTGCTCTTGGATAACTGTTGAAGTGCAGTTACCTGAACCTGAAGCCGATGGTGTGCACTCTGCATCAACAAATAGAGGTGATGCAGATGGAGTGCAGTTTACTGAACCTGAAGCCGATGGTGTGCAAGCTTCAGGTATGGTTATTCAGTCTACTCCAGTATGTTGTCGGACAACCAATAGTACTTGTTTTAGTCTGTTATTTAGTCTTCTTTTCAGTTATATTTCCAGTCTGTTTTTCACTCTTCTGTGTTTTCGGACTGCCTATAGTACATTTTTTAAGTAAACTGCAATAGATTTGCTACAGTCATTTGTTAATGGTACTCTTTCAGTTTGCTGCAGTAGAGTCCTGCTCTTTTGTCGGATTAAGTTCAGTCACATGATACAAGTTTCAGTTAACTGCATGTTTCAGTCAATTGGTTTGGTACAGAGTGTCTTTTCTCTTACAACTTTCAGTTAACTGCATGTATTCATACAATTGGCTTGGTACAGTTTTTCAGTGTCTTTTTTCATACAAGTTTCAGTCAACTGTTTTCATACAATTTCATACAAGAGGAATTCAATCGATCTTCTCACGCGAGGGTCACCACAGGTTGGTCACGCTACGATCGCAGAGCAAGGAGCCAAGGACAAGAGAAAGAGAAACCCTACTAATTCCATCATTCGACCAGACCAAGTACGCAGGCCATCATGCGTGCTGGCCACACTCCCCTGCGCGTGCGGGATCATGAACAGTAGGCCCTTGAGGATTATGAACGGTAGGGAGGGAGGGAGGGAAAACCTGGACAGGCGGTGCGGCGAGGAGGAAGTAGAGGCGGCGAGGATCGTCGATCTGTTGCAGGGTCCGCGGACTGCAGGTGGCGAGATCGGGGATCTGTTGCAACAAACGTCGGAGCGGCGTCCTGATTCTGCGTGCCTAGCGTGTGTCGGCGGCGGCGCAAAGCAGCGGCTGTGGAGACCTTAACGGCGGCAAAGTCGAGACGACGGGGCAGGGCGTGGAAGGGCACGGCGTCGTGGTGATCACGACTTTCCTTGGATGGGCATGGAGTCACGGTGATCGTGACTTTCCTTGGAAGGGCAAGGTGTCGTGGTGATCGTGACTTAACTTTTTTTTTAATGGCCTGACTGACGATCGTGGAGGCAAGATGATGGCGGCTTCCTTTTCTATCACGCGGGTGAAGCGTGGTGAAAGCGGGCGGGGATCGCAAGGGGTAGACCGCCGAGGTGAGGCGATGTTTTTGTCGCACAAAAACGGTGTCTCCTCTTTAGTCTTTTTAGTTATGATGATTGTGAGAGATGTGAGAGATTAAGTTAGTGAGTTAAAGGAATAAAGATAGCTTGGGAAGCAAAGGGTGTCGACCGACGGAAAGAAGAAAAGAGAAAAAAAGAAGAGGCTGCCTCGGCAAACCAAGGGAAAGATGAGGGAGAAAGCCGGAGATTTGTGGACACGTATGATGTATCATGTATGGATGACCTTTATTATAGATAGTATAAAGCTCGCTCGGCGATTGCGTACGTTTCGTGAACTTTACAAGGCACCCAGTACTGTACATCCTTTGGCTGGCACTGGCACGTACGTACGCCCGACGTGGTATGAGGGCACGACCGCACGAGGCTTGTCGACTCATGGGGCACCGAGGCTCCTGAGGTCGACTTGTTCGATTTTTTTTAATCAGAACAGTGATTTTTTTTCACAACATTTCAGCTAGAATAGTATTTTTCAGTCAATTTTAGCCAAGATTCAGCAAGCCGGGTTGACACAACGGAGATATGTACTGTACAGCAAGTGTATGCAGACGTTCGGTACTTGGGTCGATCGGTGCCTAGTTGATGGCAGCTGTATTCCACACTTGGGTGTGTGTGAAACATCGGTGATGACAGCACTGCCAGTATTGAACTTCGTCCTGTTCGCTCGTACTTCTTTATTCTTTAGTCAACGAAGAGCATTTTTCTCTTATAATCAATTAGTACTTTCACTCATATCTTGTCAGCCAAGGGAACTGAGACACTTCTCCCAGTCCACTATGAGTTCCTTACAAACGTACTCCCTCCGTCCCATTGAGTTTGTCGTTGGAAAACCGTGCCCCCCTCACAATCCCGCTTCCCGAGCGACAATCTTAACGGGACGGAGGGAGTACGCGATAAATCCCATCAGTTGTCAGCTGCTCATGCATGCATGCTAGCTAGCCTCCAAATCGATCCTGCCTCGTCTGGCGAAAGCTTTTCTGGGTTTTTTGAAAAATCCAGGCTATGCTTTAACTTATCGATCAGCTTATCAGCTTAATATTTTTCTCATAAAATGAAACAGCTTCAGTCCGCAACGCTGCGCGGTGGACCGCCAAGAAAGACACGACTGTCTGTGACTCCGATCCGTGCAGTGTATCACGCACGACCCAAGACCGCTCGGCCGTCGTTCGTGACAAACTGACGATCCGTGTAAACGTTATTTATCATGTATATAATCAAAAGACATTTCTCAGCAGGCACCGGCCAGGAAGTAGATTTCTCAGGTCCGAATTGGAACGCAGACCTTTAGTTTGTTAAAACCTCCGATTTCATGTGAAATGAAATTGAATTGTTCCTTTTGTAAAACTTTTATAAATTCGTACTAGTAGTACAACTATCGGTGTTTCGAGTTGCTATCGACAAGTAAATTTCTAATATTGCGCGTCTGGGTTGGATGGCGTGCTTAGAGGACACGAGGTTTATACTAGTTCGGACAAAATGTTCCTATGTCCAGTTCATTGCTGCTGCTCGTGTTACTAGCACTGAAAGTTCGTAGTACGAGTTACAAACAGGCGAGAGAGGGACAGATCCCAATTCTCTGGTGAAATGAGTGAACGGGTGCTGAGAGAGCTCGGTTGCTACTCAACCATGTATTCGAGGTTCGATGGGTTCGTGATGGTTCGATCGGATCTAGCCTGAATCGATGTGATGTGTTGTGATGCCTCTT